TATATATATATATGATCATGAAGGATATATATGTCACATGATCTTCAGAAATCATTCTAATATGCTGATTTGCTGCTCAAGAAACATTTCTGATTATTATCAATGTAGAAAACAATTGTGCTGTTTTTTTGACCCTGACCCTTGAACTGCAATATATCATTGTTTATCATTTATTATAGATGTATAGTTCATTATATAACATGAGTTTCTCGTGTGCTTGAGTTGCTTTTTTTGTTTTACAATATTGCCTATATTGAGCATTTCAAATCAGTCATTTATAAGTTTTCATTCTATATTATGCCTACTAATAGTATATTCTGACCACTAATAGACTCAAGTGCATCTGATGTTGATCTGTACTTCAGGATAAGGCCTTACTTTGTCATTTATGGCTCTTTCCTCTTCATCCACAGGCTTTCAGGAGACTGGCTGGTCTTATCAAGGATTGCTTGTGAGCGGCTGATTTCCAGGAAGACGAATCAAGCGTCTCATATTTTTTATGTTCAATATCATCTATTAAATGCTGCCGTCACATGCCACATAGACAGAATGTTTTTTGTGCAACAAACCCATATTTTCACCTTCCATATGGTACAGATGAAAAAACTTGAAATGGCATTTAATGACACCATTTTATTACATTTTTATTCTTTATTTAAGGTGTATTAAGGGAATGAATTGTTCACTGAAGTTGATTTACAATGCAGTTTCAGCCTCTGTTTACAGGGAGACGTTTAATGTGATTTTAAAACTGGTTTAGTGTAAAATGTTTAACCATAAGAAGGTCAAGGTCAAGTGGATGTATTTTATTGCAATAGTCTGTTATTGTAAATCTTCATGGTGAATTGTGAAGGTTAAAGCTGTGGATTTCCTTAATGGACGGTGACCTGTAATATGAATAGTTAGCTGCTATTAACTTGAGCGGTTTTGAACACAAATGAGTTGTAAATGTACTGGTATGTTGCACATAGACTAATGGACTCTTATCACAGACTGTAAAGACTCATTTCTGCAATAACTTGAATCCATCTCTGTTTTTTTCATATTTTGGAAAGTCATGGGAATGCAATATTGGATTTTTTGCTCTTGCTTTTGGAGTAAATAGTAATGCAAAAATTATATTTGCAATGGTCTCCCATATATACACCAGAATATAATAATAGCTTACCTTTCTGGAAATGTGAAAACGGTCCATGCTAGTCACCATTTGACTTACTAACCAATATTTTGGTATGTTGTCCATTGGACTTGCATGTCATTGTGCAAGTTGGTCCATTTGGACCCAGAATGGTTCAATAAATCTCACTCAGCTTTGTGCTTTTACCAAATCTTTGCCTTATTTTGGTCCACCCAAAAATTACAATTCTGTCATCTACTTTTTCAAAGAAGATGTTTTGAATGTTGGCAACCAAATGTTTTCGACTCCCATTGACTTCCATATTATGGACAATGAAATACTATGTAAGTCAGTAGGAGCCAAAACGGTTTGGTTACCCACATTCTTCAAAGTATCTTCTTTTGTGCTCCACAGAAGAAAAAGAAAGCATACAGTGATGACAGAATTCTCATTTTTTGGATGAACCATCTGTTTATAATTGCATAAATTCCAGACGTTTTTCAATAGAGAACTTGTTGATTTTAACAGTGCAGAATGTAAGTCCTTAACCTTTGAACGCATTCATTAGAGCACTGGATTTTCACACAGATTCTTTGTGTACACTACTCAGGGAAAGTGTTTATGAAGGGCTCACACACGGACTCTTATCACAGACTGTAAAGACTCATTTCTGCAATAACTTGAATCCATCTCTGTTTTTTTCATATTTTGGAAAGTCATGGGAATGCAATATTGGATTTTTTGCTCTTGCTTTTGGAGTAAATAGTAATGCAAAAATGATATTTGCAATGGTCTCCCATATATACACCAGAACATAATAATAGCTTACCTTTCTGGAAATGTGAAAACGGTCCACGCTAGTCACCATTTGACTTACTAACCAATATTTTGGTATGTTGTCCATTGGACTTGCATGTCATTGTGCAAGTTGGTCCATTTGGACCCAGAATGGTTCAATAAATCTCACTCAGCTTTGTGCTTTTACCAAATCTTTGCCTTATTTTGGTCCACCCAAAAATTACAATTCTGTCATCTACTTTTTCAAAGAAGATGTTTTGAATGTTGGCAACCAAATGTTTTCGACTCCCATTGACTTCCATATTATGGACAATGAAATACTATGTAAGTCAGTAGGAGCCAAAACGGTTTGGTTACCCACATTCTTCAAAGTATC